GGGAAGTCAGGTAGGGGGGTGTGGGGGCCCCCTCGAGGGGCCCCAGCCTCAGGGCCCCTTAGAATATCTTGTGGGGGCCCCGGGGGCCCCCCCTCACGGCCTGTAGGGGTAGGGGGCCCCTCAGGTGGTTGCGGGGGCCCCTGCATAGACACTTCTTCTGTCTTATCAGAGGGTACGTCGGGGGGCCCCTCCCCTTTACATGTTTGCTGGGGGGCCCCCTCAAGAGGGGTTGCATCGCGGGGGGCCCCTTCTGTCTCTTCTGAGGAGACAGGAGGAGACAGCTGCTCGGGCTCAGGGCCCCTGTCTTCGTCTGTAGGGGGGCCCCCAGAGGGTACTAGAGCCTCATCTGCGGCTAGCTGGGGCCCCACAGCAGTCTCCTTGGGGGCCCCTGCTTGTACCTCCGGGTTGTCTTCAGTAGGGGGCCCCCTGGGGGCCCCCCTCTGAAGGTATGAGGTCTCGGTGGTGTCTCCGCATGGGGGCCCCGCTGCTGCTGTGTCTGCTGCAGGGTTGTGTTGCTGCTGCACTGTCTCTGTCTCTGTTTGGTTGGGGGGCCCCTGTTGGCGCTGTGGGGGCCCCTGTTGATGCTGGGGGGCCCCCCTTCTGGGTAGAGGGGGGCAGTAGTTGTCGCGCTGGCGGGGGCCCCCAAGGGTCTGTATGAGGGGGGATAGATGGGGCCTCCTGAGAGGGTCCTGCGGCAGGGGGGCCCTTCTCGGTAGAGCTTTATTTGTGTTTCTGTTTCTGTTGGGGGTTGAGGGAGTAAGAGACAGCAGCAACGCATCTTCTCCTTTGTTTGGGGTTTCTTCTTGGGCCCCCTCATCATACACCCCAGCAACACAGCAATGAATACCCCCCTCACGGTCGACGAGGGCCCCCAAGGGGGCCCCCACACACGGAGACACAGGCACACCAACGCCAGCCTCAGCATCATCAGGGGCCCCCTCTACACCAGAGGACGGGGGCCCCCCCTCATCAGCACACCCTGACTCCTCCTGTACCCCTATAGGGGCCCCTTTCTCAGGGGCCCCCTGCTCTGATGGGGGCCCCTC